TTTGAATGTTTGGGGTCTCTCAAGAGTGCACGTGGAAGGCCAAAGGCTGTACCTTTTACTTTGTCATACAAACATTTTCTTTGTGATACATTGGTCCAGTTTGTAGCCCCAGGCCTGAAATACGCACATAGGTTTTTGCTATGGATAGCAAATGCTTTTTAAAGTTTTACAATTGAGGATAATGCTTTTCAACTTTTTTTTTTTTCCTGTGGACTTGATTGAGTTTTAAAAACTAATTAAAAGACTTCTACTTAACCAATATTATATATAGTTAACTGATAGTGGAAGCAAGGACAGACGGCCTGGGAAGAGTACAGGGATGTTGTCTGGGAAGCTAGGGACCAGGTTAGGAAAGCTAAGGCCCAGTTAGAATTAAACTTGGCTAGGGATATTAAGGATAACAGGAAGGGATTCTACAGGCACATAGCAAATAAAAAACAGACTAGGGAGAACATAGGCCCCCTCAGGAAGCTCTCGGGTGAACTAGCTACACAGGATTTGGAGAAGGCTGAGGTTCTGAATGACTTCTTTACCTCGGTCTTCCCTGGCAAAGGCTGTGACCGCACCACCCAAGTCTTGGAAGGCAGACGCAGGGACTGTGAGAATGAAGACCTTGGGCCCACTGTAGGAGAGGAACTGGTTCGAGACCATCTTAAAAATCTGAACATGCACAAGTCCATGGGTCCTGATGAAATCCATCCGTGGGTCTAGAAGGAGCTGGCAAATGAAGTTGCTAAGCCGCTGGCCATCATATTTGAAAAATCATGGCAGTCAGTTGAAGTTCCTGATGACTGGAAAAAGGGAAATATAACCCCCATTTTCAAGAAGGGGAAAATGGATGACCCGGGGCATTACAGACCAGTCTCACCTCTGTGCCTGGCAGATTCTCCTGGAAGGCATGCTAAGACACGTGAAAATCAACAAGGTGCTTGGTGATGGCCTTTTATGATGGGGCTACAGAACTGATGGACAGCGGTAGAGCAGTTGATGTCATCTACCCGGATTTGTGTAAAGCGTTTGACACTGTCCCACAGGACATCCTTGTCTCTAAATTGGTGAGACATCAATTTGATGAATGGACCACTCGGTGGATAAAGAAGTGGCTGGATGGCAGCACACAAAGAGTTGTGGTCAATGGCTCAATGTCCAGCTGGAGACCAGTAATGAGTGGTGTCCCTCAGGGATCGGTGTTGGGACTGGTCTTGTTTAACATCTTTGTCGCTGACATGGACAGTGGAATTGAGTGCACCCTCAGCAAGTTTGCCAATGACACCAAACTGTGTGGTTCAGTTGTTATGCTGGAGGGAAGGAATGCCATCCAGAGGGACCTTGACTTGCTTGTGAGGTGGGCTGATGCCAACCTCATGAAGTTTAACCATGACAAGTGCAAAGTCCTACACCTGGGTGGGAGCAATCCCAGGCACAGCTACAGGTTGGGCAGAGAAGAGATTCAGAGCAGCCCTGCGGAGAAGGACTTGGGGTGCTGGTCGATGAGAAAATGAACTTCAGTGTGCGCTTGCAGCCCAGAAAGCCAACCATATCCTGGGCTACATCAAAAGGAGCGTGACCAGCAGGTCGAAGGAGGTGATCCTGCCCCTTTATTCTGCTCTCGTGAGACCTCACCTGGAGTATTGTGTGCAGTTCTCTTGTCCTCAACATAAAAATGACATGGATCTGTTGGAACAAGTCCAGAGGAGGGCCACGAGAATTATAAGGGGACTGGAGCACCTCCCATATGAAGATCAGCTGAGAAAGTTGGGGATGTTCAGCCTGAAGAAGAGAAGGCTGCGTGGAGACTTCCTAGCAGCCTTCCAGTATCTGAAGGGGGCCTACAGGGATGCTGGGGAGGGACTCTTCATTAGGGACTGTAGTGGTAGGACAAGGGGTAATGGGTTAGAACTTAGGGGAAGTTTAGATTGGATATAAGGAGGAAATTCTTTCCTGTTAGGGTGGTGAGGCACTGGAATAGGTTGCCCAGGGAAGTTGTGAGTGCTCCATCCCTGGCAGTGTTCAAGGCCAGGTTGGACGAGGCCTTGGGTGATATGGTTTAGAATGAAGTGTCCCTGCCCATGGCAGGGGTGTTGGAACTTGATGATCTTAAGGTCCTATCCAACCCTAACTATTCTATGATTCTATGGTTCTAGGATATTATATATAGGTAACTAATAATATATTAACAGTTCGTCTTGATAATCTTAAGGGTCTTTTCCAACATAAATGATTCTATGGTTCTATATAGAATGAAGAAAAACAATTTTCCCTTTCTCAAACAAAGAAAACTATCTCTTGTGGGTCTTTTTAGAATTTTTTTAAATTCACAGCCATGAATGCTAGCAGTGAAAGGCAGTGATCAAAGTTATGCAACTAACATAATTATTTATAGTTTCAGGGGAAAGGCTTGGAGAGGCAGTGTTGGCAAAACTGGGACTCCTGCCACCTTTCCAGACTCTGCTTACAACCAAAACCAAAAATATAGATTGAACATGATTAATACATTTCCTGCTTCATATTTAGTCTGAAGAAGCTCTTAAACTTAACCTATCTCCCACAGAGAAGCGTTAGATAATCTAATAGGCTGTGCATGTGTTTGCTTTTTGTTGGGGTTTTGGTTTGATTTGGTTTGGCGGTGGTTTTTTTTTCATGGGGTTTGGGTTTTTTTTGTGCTTTTGTTGGTTTTTTTAATAAGTTAGTGTGATATTTTCTACGGTTATTTCACATCTGTATCTTTTAGTCATAGAGATGAGGTAGCACAGAGAATAGACACAGTGATGGGGGAAAGGATGAGTTGATAAAAGCCTACACTTTCAAGTTTGGGGGTGGGGAATGTCATCTTTCCCATTGACAGTTTCTCAGACTATTTGAGAGGGTAGGGCAGCATCTGTACTTCTACATGGCTTATAATACACATCAGTCTAGAATGTGCAGCATCCCTGATGTATTTATCTTACAAAGCACACTTTCTTCTGCTGCTGTTGGCTTTGATTGCTGTGTCTAGTGTAAGCACTTACCTATGTAGACTGACATTATGCTATACTATGTAGAAATAAACATGCTGAGCTTATCAAATTTTCTCTGTTTTGCATCGAAGGTGTAAGTCAAGTCACAGTCCCACCTCCTCTGCTCACAGTCATAGCAACACTGGCCCAAGTAATCTCAGGAACGAATTTCTAAGCTTTGATTTTTTGCATCCTAATTGACTGTTCTGAGACCTACCTTTGTAAGACTATTTCTTAGTCTAAATTCTTGACTTTGGAGTGCATACATGTATCTATGACTCCAATATATGTAAGTTTATACATTCTTATATATGAATGTATGATTCCAGTGTCAGTAGATGCTTTCCCTGATGTTAATAATGTCTTTACTTACAAAGGTTTTTGTATTAAGGTGAAGCAATGAACAATACTTGCATACAGCAAGCATCACCTAATCTTTCAAACTTATTTGTATGTGCCTCCAAAAGGTTTCTATGTCACCAGTGAAAGTCAGAACAGAGGAGAAGGTAGGACCGAATAAGAATATTCTGGCCTTATCTAAAGCTGCATGGTCTAGTAACATTTTCTTCCAGTGCCTCAATAGTCAAAAAGAAAAGTTACAATTTCTGATTACACCTTTGGAAGTAATTGATTCTGGCACTGTTGGTAGGTAGTTTCTTCTGGTTGTCTTATATTTATGAATTAATACAAATGGTTTTTCAGTGAATGGATCTGTACACTCTTTATTATAGTAGTAGCCCTGAAAAATAGAAGCAGACGAATCAAAAATGAAAGGTTGAGTAGGTAAATAGCAACAACTTTCTAAACATTAGGTGTTACATTCAAAATAAAATGACAAATATAAAAAGAATATATGTTACAGTGGGAAAAAATGTAGGAAGTGAGCCTGTAACAACTTTTCAGGTTCTAACAACTTTCAGATATATTAGCACCATTTCATGTATTACTTTAGGCAGAGTTGTTGCTGTCATCTATTCTAGTAAGATATGTGCATAAATCAGACAGCTGTGAAAAGAGAACATCAGGTGTGAGAGACTAATTTTATAACTGTTATCACTAATACTGAACTTTATTTGCTCATTTACTTTAAGATCACATATACTATAAAACAGATTTTGATGGACTGCACTTCCTTCCTAATTACTCCTTCCTGTGGGTTTTTTTATTTGTTGGGGGTGAGGTGGGTATGGGTGGGTGTTTTGGGGTGTTGGTTGGTTGGTTTCTGTTTGGTGGTGTTTTGGTGTTTTGGGGGGGGGGGGGGGTTTGTTTGTTTTTTTTTTTTTTTGCTTGTTTGGGTTGTTTGGGGTTGTTTTTTTTTTCCTTCAGATTTTCTTATTACTATTGCTTGCTAATTTGCCCTGATATGTTCTGTATCCCTTAGAATCATCTGGGAAGCCATACAAATGATTTAACTTAATGTGTATTTATGGAGGGAAGTGTATACCCTGTGCTTTCTATATCAGAAAAATATATGTCTAGGCTAGGGAAAATACATGAAGAAGGAATTTATATAATAGTGGAGAAAAAAAAACAAACAAAAACAACAAAGACCCCAAGGAATTTTGTTTCAAAATGTGATGTGGGTGTTTTTTTTTCAAGCTGGATAATTTTTGAAAACAGAAAAGAAAGCTCCACAGTTTCTTAATTAAATGCATGTCTTGTTAAATGTGAAGAAAAATTTGTGATATTGGAAAAACTAATTCTGTTTCTGACTTTCTCATAGCTTGCCTTGTTCTGGTGAAGGGTTTCTTTTTTCATTCTTCTATTTTGCTCTTTGTTTCCCTTGATGAAACGTGTTTAACCTGAACACACTTAACAGAATTGTTATTTTACATGAAAGTTGTTTGATAATAACTTCAAAAAACAGCAACAACCCCCCACCCCCTCTCCTCTACTCCCAAAATGACAACATAGAAAACCCAAAACTTAAAGTGAATATAACTTCAGAACATAGGGAAGACAATGCAGCTTGGAATGAAACTTCAAGGCATTAGTCATTTAGAGTTAGATGAGGTGACTGTATATAATGTAGGTGGAAATCTAGTAAGGATTTCTAGATTTAGTCCTCTAGTGTAGCCTGAACAAAAATATTTGTCTGACTCCTGCTGGCAGTCATTATTGTACATGAACTGGCACTGTTTCTGCTGTGTTTTGAATGGATAAAAGAATGCTGTTGAAATTGCTAGCTAAAGAGTACAGATTACTTTTTATTTTATGTAAATGGAGAGATTTGATGACTTTGTCAATAACTCCATTTCCAGAATATGGGGGTGAGGTGTTGTTTTCAACTCAGTTTTAGCACATTAATCTGAAACCCTGAAAAAAGCACGAGTCTTGCTCTAATTCCTATCCCAAGTGAAGCTTGCATTTCTTAACTCTTGCATATCCATTTGGGTTGGCAGCAACTTGTTTACAGTTTTCTCCATTCTGATTTCTGTATCCAATCTCAGTGAAGGCCACTCCATTGCTAAGTTAGAGATGAGTCATATTTCACTTTTTCAGGAGAAGTCTTTTGGATCTTAATCTCTGGAAGAAAGAAATTAAGATAAACAAAAAAAATAGCATTTAACTGACTTTGGAAATAATAGTGAATGCACGGCAAATAAATGATGAGAGTTCTTGTCCTTCAGCTTTAAATACTAATGCTCTCTAATTGTAAAAGCTTGCAGCCCCTTGTAGTTCTTTATTTAAACAGATTCACTTTTCCCCCTGCTTGTATGAGGAATTCGTTTTGGTTTATTTTATTACTACTGGAGTGAGTGAGTAACACATTGTGGGTACTTCTGCAATGCCAATGCAGATGCAAGTTTATATGGGTTAAACAGGAGGCTGGATAAACGCTTGGAGGAGAGATACGTCTGGGATCACCAAGTATGAAAAACAAATTAGGCATGGGAGATCTAGTTGGATGCTATGAAGACATTAAACAGAAGTTAGCTGCTTGTCCTAATTTTCTTCTTTACCAGGCATATCTTGTAGACACATCTAGAAGCTGAATCCTTTGTAATAACCAGTATGACCATCTGTATGTTCATACAGTCTTAAGAGCACTTCTGTAAATTCTGCTTAGTGCAAAGGATTGTAACATTCAGAGATAAGCACAGCATTAGCTGATTTAAATTGCAGATTATTCGGAAACTATTTAGTATATAGTATACTTGAATTAAACTGCTGCTACAAAATCAGTCATACTAAATTTCCTTTGTATGCAAATCTTCTTTTAGACCTTGTGTGAGGTTAGTTAAAACAGTCTCAGAAAATGTATTCAATTTATTCTGTTGACCAAATGATCTGTATAATATTTTCTAGCCCCATATAATAAACAGTCTTCACAGAAACTTACATTATCAGTATTAGTGTTGGAATGGAAATTGCAGCAAGGAATATGAGCCATTAAAATTTTGCAGAATACCACTAGCCCTGCATGTTAAACTTTGTGTAAATGGTGGTGCTCATAAGAGAGCCTATTAACGAGCTCATAAGATTAAAAAATGTCCAGTAGAACAACTGACAGTTTAGTCGAGGAGTTACTCTTTGGTCCTGGCCTTTAGAAATATCCATGAACTAGTGCATAGCTTGAAACAATTTTAATCTTGTTTATGTTGATTCAACGAAATTGCCCCTTTCTGTCTGCAGGCAAAAAAATAGGACTTCTTGTAATTGGATTGCCATGGCAGGAGGGGCAAGCCTACTGAACCTAGCATAGAACAGAGTATAGTATGGAACCTTCACAGGCACCTTAGAAAATGACGTTTGAGCTGTTCCCTTGTAGTGAAAACATAAATATATATGAATGTGACTATTAATGGCCTTTAGGGAAAGAAAAAGAAGGCAAGTTAAACTTGCAATTTTTGAAAGAGGTTTAATCAGAAGGAAGTTGTTGAGGTACTGGATTTACAAATGTTTACTTGGAATTAAAATGCAGTTGGCATGATTTACAACAGTAACCAATATTTGTACTGTTAAGGTAAATATTTATTTCCACACAGTTTTCCTTGAAATATTTATATCCAATGATTCATAACATTTTGCTATCCAGTGCATGATGTTGTTGGAAAGCTTAGCAGGTTGGGGATGTGATGAAACCACAGGGCCAAAAATAATTTGGATACAGATAATTTGAAGTATGTTTCTCTTCAGTTAGTTGATAAGTAGAAGTGAGCAGACCACACAAAGTTATATAAATCCTGGCAGAATGCCAGGAATAAGCAATCACTTTATAGACCAGTAGCATGTAAACATAATATGTAACATATGGAGGCAACTGTCACATTTCAAACAAAGTACTTTAGCACAGAAGATTTTTCTGGAGATTTTGAGGTTATATATTCTTATTTCAAAGCAATGTGAAAATGATTTTTCTAAAATTTCTAAAGGCTGATACTCGTGGATAAGGTACTGGCCAAGAGATAGGGAATGTCTTGGTAGAGAAATAGGGCATGGGCTAGGAATAGGTAAACAAAAGTAATGAAGGTGAAGGTGGGTGAAGACTGACCTTTTAATTTCTGAAGCCTGCAATAATGTTATTCTTCATAAAATTTTACAAATCATTAGTGACTAACTGGTGCTTATGCCAGTGGGTAGGTGGAGAAATAATATTTTACTTAACAATGCAGATATGATTCATGTAGGTTACCTTTTTTTTTTTTAATTAAGGATTTCTGACATGCAAGCTTGAGAGTATATTATCCTCTGCCTGTGTTTGCATAGCTTTCATTTATGCTAATTATATAATAATGATGAAGGTGCTGGGGATTGTCTAGAGATTAAAGAGCATCTGGAAGAAGCTGATAACCTGTGGTACTGATGTATACCATTAGCCCTAGCAAATCACTAATCTCTGGAAGTACCTGCTATCATAAAATGACAAAGGGATTTGGTGATAGGGGTGGAAGTAGGAATGGGCAGGGAGGTTGTAGATGAATACAGGATTGCAGGAGAACCCAGTCTCATACTGTACACATGTGGCCCACAGGAACTGATCCTCGAAGTCCTGGAGCAAAGGGAAGGCTTCCAGGTTCTGTGTACATCCTTGATATGACATTTAAAATTTAAATCTGTAGAAAGAAAAAGGAGTGGGAACATAATTTGCTGTACAGCTTTGGTTCTGGTTTGTATATTTTAAGGAACTAACTCCTATTAATATAGATAATTTTGATTAATGTTTGGTCGATATGGGCTGAGTTGTTAATTCAGAGATATTCATTCATTCACCATTACCCTTTATGTATGATTTAAAACCTTATATGACTGCATCATACTTGCTGTCACTGTGTGCTTTTATATGAGGTGCCAAGGAATGGGTTTTGGATGCAATATTAGCTCGGCTTTGAGTCATCTTTTGTCAGTTTATATGTCAGTTCTCAGCTTCTGCCTTTGTTGGGAGATTTTGCTAGCTGTGCTAAATTAAAATCTTCAGGTATAGTAAATTCAACATAACCAAAGCGGCTGCACTTCCACAGTGTTATAACAGTTCAAGAAAAGCAATGGGACCAGGTGATGTAGTCTTCATTCTTCTTTGGTAACATGCTTTTGTAGCAGTGACTGGAATATAAAATCTTGTTCTTTTTTTATTAACATCTAAGATCCCTGTTCATTAAAACTGAATGTTATGCTTCATCCAAAAAAAAAAAAAAAGTTGGCAAACTAGAAGTGTAGTATAGTTGTTTAAACTCATTAGGTACAGGAGTTGTTTAAATAATATGTTAGTATTTTAAGTAATCATAAGGTGAGCAAAGAAGTAATTGGTTCATATCAGTTCCAGAACATATTTGTATTTCGCATGAACTCTTAAAAGATGAGTATCCAAAACTGTTAAATCACTGGCTGTACCTGCAGAACTGTTCTGGAAAGGCCATAAGGGCAATAATCTATAGAAATGCTATCTTAAAAAAATACTGAATTTTAATTTTTGTTATACACTAGCAAACCTTAGTCTTCTGTAACAAATAATCAGGAAGTCTTAAAAGTTTTTGGAGTAAACCTATACTTTAGACTTTGAGACTTTCTCTTTGCCTTTCTCCTTAGCAGACTCCCTTCTGAATAACCTGGTCTTTTGTGTTGAAATGTCTTTCCACCTATACATGTACATATTCTAGAGTAAGGGATTATCTTTTACTTTCAGCGGACTGAAATGACAAAAGACAATCTATCCAAGTGCGTCTATGCGGACTTAATATCTTCTTCTCTGTCTAAAAGGCTCGCCAAATACTTTGACTGGCTCAAATAATCATTTCCCTGTTTGAATGAAGGGGCTTTTTTTGGGGGGGGTAGGATATGGGTGGGGGAGAAGAGGGAGAGACAACAAACGAACTGTAGAATGCAGTATGTGTTTGAGTGGAGTTCCAGTTTACAATAAATATATTTCATTTCCATTTGAAGAAATTTTCCATACCCTTTTTACAGGAAACGTTTCATTTGGTCAACTGCCATTCCTACTAAAGTATTTTTCTCAAGGCAGGAAGGTGTTGTTGGCTGGTTAAAGAACTAACTCCAGAGCAATAAGCTTATGGAACTACTGTTACTAGTCGCATTTGACTAGTCTACTTGCTATTACACTACATACTGTTGTGTAGCTCTAGGTAAACATAGGGTGTCCTAAGAGGTGCCAAGTGCAAAGAATTCTTTGTTCATTTAAAATTTTCATGCTGGACTGACTTATATTACAGACTTTCTTGAAACAGTAAAAATCAACAAAAAAACCTTAGAAAATTAGTACAAAATTTATAGTGTGACTCTAACAGTATTTCAAGTTAAATTTCTTGTTATTTTTGCACTTAAGAAAAGGTAGAAAATTGAATTGTTTAATATAGAGCTTTGATTAGGACAAATGGACAAATGCCAGCAGCTCTATTTTTCTTCTGGTTTTGTTTTGTTGTTTGGTTTGGGGTTTTTTCCTTATTTCATTTTATTTTGAAAAATGCAGTTTGAATGTAAATCTGACTTGCATAGGAATGATTTATTTTTTTCAATTATTTTTTTCTGGTATGTTTTTTGGCTCTTTGCCTGAATACAGCATTGGGGAGGTTCAAAGAGCATTTTTGTTGCTTTTTTCATTTAAAAAGAGCACTTAAATGTATTTTTTTTCCATCTTAATTGATCATTACTAGTTAATTTAAGCATATGTTCCACAAGTAAACACGGCAAATAAATTGAATTTGTGTTGCAGTGGCGCATTTGAAGACTGGTCAAGAGAGTAGTATGCTAAATTTAAATTAATTGTTTTCTTCTAAAGAGTTCAGAAACACAATTAAACATCTGTGTCAATTAAAGGTATTGGTGTGCTTGTGCAAGTGATGTTGAACATGCCTCAACCCCTTGGGTGTAAAGTTTGCAATTCAAACTGCCCCTCTGGGTGGTTTGAGCTGAGCAGCCAGATCTTGCCCTGAGGTGTCTGAGAAGTGTTCATAAAATCATCCTGATAACAGGGCCAGTGAAATGAGTCTCTGTGACAGGGGCACAGTTGCAAATGATGGGGCCATGGTTATGGATTAAACTCAGGCTGCTGCGGTTTGATGAGTGAAAATATAACTAAGTAATTCTTCCATTTCCTTCAAGTGGATTTTGCTGTACTTTCTGGTGGAACTCTGACAATCTTTCCTCTGGATGTTTGATGTGTGGAATATTTTTATATATTTTTTTACCCATAAACTTTAGGAGATGTTGATAATCTGTAGGCAGTTTTTGTTGAGACTGGAGGGGAGAATTTCACACTCTTCACTCAGCAGTGCCTTTAAAATATATAGACATTAAATGTTAATATATGTGCTGTAGAATCTGTTGTGTAGACGTAGACTCTTTGGGTTTTGTAACTCTCAAAGTTTGATTTTCCACTAAGGTAAAATGCTGAGATGTCATTTATGTACACCAATGTAAGTGTAAGACACTTTTTATAAAGATAAGAGCCTGCCAAGTTTCACTGCTATAATATATAATAGGTCACAAAAAAGTTAAAATACAATAATGCTGGAATTGATTCAGGGTGAAAAAGCATGAAAAAGCATGCCGATGTGTTATAGACATACTTAAAAATGACTACTTGGTTTTGAGATAAGGAAAGTAGAAATTAATATGAATTATTCTTAGAACAAATCATTTCAGCTCAGTCATACTTTACATATATGGTCTGCTGAAGGGTGTAACATGCTTTTCCAATTCACTGTATTACTGCATTGCTCAGGAGATTCACAAACTAAAGTTAGAATTGTAAAAAAAATAAACCTGAGGAAGGGACAGGTTTGCTATGTTTAACAGGGATTGAAAAAGAAGGGCTGAATAGCATAAGTAAAGGCACATAAAATCTTTCCTTCTAAGACAGGTATGTGTGGGTTCACAGTTATTGCAATACAGTTCGAGATTTAGGGTATTTCAAATAGTTACATTATGTATTTCACAAAAAAAAGTAATTTTCTTCCCATATTCTCCCAATAGGAACTGCAATATGGTTATATGCTTCATATAATTCTGAATGCCCTTATGCTTTGTAGATCATGTTTGTTTAAAGAATAACCAAATTCATTAGTTTCTCAGTATTTCACCTTTACAGAGACATTTCAGGCTCTATAAATGTCTAAAATATTAGATATTTAAGATTCGTATTAACAAGACCAGTTAAAAACTAACCTTTTTATAGTTTTCTTAATTTGGTTGTGTTAAGTTGGGAAAAGAGTAGTGGCTACCTTATTAAAGCAATAAAAGATAATAAAGGAAGAATTGGAAAAAAATAGGGGGATATCTCAAAAAGAAAGTTTACATCTGTTTGAGAGTATAATTTCAGTACTGGAATATGTAAGCCGACTTTGCAGTGGAACAGAGAAACTACGAATTACAGTATCTTGGAAAAACCTACTTTATCAAGTTGTGGCAGGCTGGCAAAGTAGGGAAAGGTTTTGTTACATAATAATTCTGAGATAAATCATAACCTTTTGGAATTTTAAATTACTTATTCTATATGAAAAATATACCACTTTTCCCTCACTAGAATAGAATAGATGATGCCCTTCTCACTCTCTCCTTCCAAATGTAGCTCAATATTTAGAAGTTAAGGAATTTTTAATTTTTTTTTTTAAATAAGCATTAAGTTTCTGATTCATTTGCCACAACTGCAGCCTGTGAAACAAAGGAGAGCAATTATAAGCAAGGATCCTTGTATTCCTTTGTCACAGAATCTGTTGCATAGCTGTTCTCCAAAGTAAATATGGTTTTTGTTTGAGGTTTTTTTTTTTCAGCAGAGTTAAACATTAAAACCACAAATCAAATACAGACTTTTGCACTGTTACCTCCCAACTGTTACCTGCAAATGTAAAATTTAAGAGCATGTATGCTGCCTCCTTCTTCAGGGAAATCCTGCAGGAGAACAATACCTTTCTTAATCTGTTACAGAAATTGTCATTTTCCCCCAGTATTACGTGAATCCCTAGTTTTGTGGGAGTCAGCCACATAACATGTGGTCTTCTGGTGCCTGGTTAACCTCAAAAAAAGCCTCAGACCAGTCAAACTGAAAGTAGTGAGGGTGAGGACAGATAGTTATATTCCATAGAGATTAGGCGATGCTAGATGTAATGACAGAGCAAGAAGAAATGCAAGTCCAGTAGAAAACATTCAGCTCTATCTTGAAAATGATACTGTAGAGATTCACAGTATACAGTATGTGGCAAATTTCCATTCTGAAGCGACATAAGTAACAGAAAGACTGAAGTTAAAACCTGTAACTGTATGCTGTCCAACAGGTCTTGGGCAAGACATCCTGAAGTGTGCATCTTTTGTGGTGTTTACATATGCATGCAGTCAGCCACTTTTGTTGTGTGTCAGATTTTTCACTTCCTTTCTCTCCTTCATTGCTGTTATCTAATCCCTAATAGTAGGCAGAAAACTGGTATTCACACACTTTTAAACAAAACAAAACAACTCTTTATTGTTTGTGTCCAATATCAAATGAAACTATAGCTATTCGAAGGTGCTGGTACATTGATAAAAAACACTCACCTCCTGATTAAATTCCAGCCATAAATGACAGAAGGAATGAATTACTGGATAGTGGTGTGGTGATAAGTACAGGGCATGTGCTAATGCTTTCAGGCTGTTTTGAAATGGCAGGTGTAAGCAGTTAGGAACTTAGCAGCCCAGGTGTTGTTTGCAGGAAGTGAGCTAGTGTACTGTGAGGAAGGAATGAATGGTTTGTAGTCTAGCTCTTGTTATTTCAGTGACGTGCTGTGCAGTTTCAGCTAAATGTCTGTTCTTTCTCCTTGCCTTTATGCCTAACTGCTGGAGGGATTTTTTAATAGTAGTTCTGGGGTTTGTACAATATTATTGTTACCATTTATTGTCAATGCCATTGGTAGTGTCAATAAAGATGTTAAAAACTCACTTGGTATCAATACTGATCAGTTCTCTCACCTTTTTATTTATTTGTGTTTTTTGCTCATTTAAAGTAACGAATGTGGAATTGCAAGCACATGCTAAGTGTTGGATAGCATTTTCTCATGTACTACAGGGACATCAGCAAAATCAAGGAAAGAAGCAGAACAGACATTATATGTGGCTGTAAAAAAGTTAAAAGTAGGAGTATCAGTACAATGTATGATAACAAGACAAAAATGTCTGTAAAAAGAGACCTGATTTGTATTGTGGCTCTAAATATAAGTACTGAAATATAGTCTTGAAATTACAAACTTTCAAATAGCTTTTTTATCAGTAATAGTCATTGTTCTTTATTTTTTTTTAAACTAGCAGTAGGACTAGATGACCATTATAGGTCACTTCTCACTGAACTATTCTGTTCTATTTAATTCTTAAGGTTTAAGTATTTATTGAACTACCAAGCCTAAATTGCCTTCAAAATTGTCATAAGAACAGGGCATTAGAAATGAGAACACAGCATTTTAAGGGACTCACTACAAGCAACTGTGTTTATGGTGCAATAACATAGCTATTAGCTTGCACAGTATATTCAGTGTTACAATATTTGAATTTATCTTATTATAATTTTCAGTGACTTAAGATTGAAATCTTGTACTTGGGCTACTGTATTTTTCTGAAACAAAAGATAAGTAGAAATGAACAAGGGATAATTCATACTACTTTCCTTCTTTTTCTTCCCATCCTCTTGCCTTCTCACCAGATCCTTGAATAGTCCTGATGGATAAAATTATACTATATGATGTGTAACTGTGTCTTTTCTCTAGGCAGCCTCTCAGTGCTGCTAGTTATTCTTTGGCAGTCTGAATCTTTCATCTTGGCATTATGATTCAGCCTGAATGAGAAAATTACCATTAATAGCATCGGCAAGTGTGAGGAGAGCTAGTTTGGGCTGCTAAATTTCATTCCCGTCTAATACTGTTGAGGGGATTAGGACCACTGAGACTTGATGTGCATGGTAAAAGAACTGAGGCAGTGTGTTTGGACTTTATTTCCCCTTGTTCTTAGGAAAACATTCTTCTTGACAGCTGCATCTTTTCATGCTTTTTTTATGAACTTATTTAAAAACATCTTCATGTGAATAAATTTATTCAGAGAGCAAATTCACCTGTGAGCAAACCCATTTGGATGGGTGAATAAGAATTTTGGCTTTTTTTTTTTTTTTTTTTTTTTTTACTTAACGTTCTTTTCTCCCATGAATGTCTATAAAGCAGTAGTAATTTTTCAGTTTTGATAGCTCAAAATTGAGGAAGAGAAAAAAATAGATGTTAGAAATCTCCATTATTTAAGGCAACTATCTTTTTGTGTGTTTGGGAGGGTAGGGGTGGTTTGGGTCTGTTTTCTTAGTGTCTTGCTCAGAATTTTGAATACCATTATTAGAAATTATATTCAGACAACCTTACGCTGTGATTACAGACTGTTGCCAATATCAATGACAGAAGGGAAATGATAATTCTTATCAGCATCTAATTCAGGCAAATGGAGTGGAGGTTCATGTGGTAATGTAAAGGCTCTTTATAAGCTCTTGGGTACTTTATTTGATTTTTTTTCCACAGGCTTTCTGTAAATAACGAGACACAAGAATACAGTGTTAAAGTACACGCTCAGATGAGAAGATGACAGGACTTACAGATAGCACCGTGAGGAGTGGCTGATTTTCACAGGTTGTTAGGTTTATGAGAAAGATGGCCAAGCGTCACCAATAACCAGGGTGAGTGTTTGAAACCCTCAGAGAAGTGAGATCTTGTAGGGCAGGTGGTGCCTTGGTAATTGTATCATTGGTATCAGAAAAGGCTAAGGTGACCTGGGTACAGTATCACAAATCCTGAATTTGGGAACATTGTAGCAAATCTGGGATTACTGAGAAAAGTGTAACTACGTATGAAAGGTTGATTTAGGAGGAAGCAAGGGTATAGATAAGGATGGGGAAGAACAAATGTGGAAATGGAGAGAAAGTGGTATAAAAGAGGCAGGTCATATTTAAGCAGGCAGATGGTTAGTACACCTGTCTGTTTGGACCTTGCACCTTATCACTGTAGTTTGTTCCACCTTAGATTTAAATTTTGCTCCTTATTATTATCTGTGCGAGTGTCCTCATGAGTGTGGACACATGCGTGTGACCACCAGTCACATTTCAGCTTCACCTTGAAGTAGAGCTGTGCAACGAGTGGGACTAGAAGACTGCGTCCAGCTAATAGAGAAAGGATAATGGGTCATAGGAGGCCACAGGCCTTGGAATAACAATTGTAGGGATAGCTGATGGATGGTACCAGCTACTGCAAAGACCATGAATCCAGCTGCCAGGGATCTGTTAGCTGTGCTGTTGGTATTTATGACTGCCGCTTGAGTTTATGTGGGTTCTAATAAAGGCACGTTTTTCTGATTCCACTGGTCTGTGTAGTCAGGCATTTTAGCCTGACCCTTTGGCATATGTGCGGACCTATGCTGGGAAGGGGGGGCCTGCAGCATTCAGCTTCCCTCACTCTAGGTGTGGAGGAGAGTGAGGTTGCAGAGCCCACATGTGGATGAGATCGTCCCTTAGTGACATGGTTTAGTGGTGGACTTGGTGGTTCCAGGATAAAGGTTGGATTTTATGATTTTAAAGGTATTTTCCAACCTAGTTGATTCTATGATTGAACCGCGCAGCACCTGCAGGGGCACAGAGAACCACACAGTGAGTGGAGAGCCCCTGGCTATGTGGGGCTCAGGGCAGACTAGCATGGGGCAGGTTGGGGCAGCAGCCCCCAGAAGCCCTGTCTCACCATGCCCAGAGGCGGGTGAACAGTACCAAGAGAGTGATTGGGCGGTGGCCCCAGGCCTACAAGGCATGGACTATGGAGATGGAGTGTCTTCTAAATGCACACCAGGGAAAAATGTCCTCAGATGCACACCCAGCTGTAGCATGGGGGCATTTATAATCTGTCTGCCCCTGCCGGGCCACCCCATGGCTGGTCACCTGAGAAGCAAGTCATGGGATACTTATTAGACCTTAAAGCCACCTGCAGGAAGCAGACTTGTCAGGCTGTGAGCGTTACACCTGAGAGTTGTCATCTTGTCCTACCCTGAGTAGCTGCTGGGCCCTGTGCTTGTGTGGAGCCTTGTTTACTGCTCTGTCATCTTGAGTGCTAGATGGGGAACTCTGTTCAAAAGTAAATTTGTACTTTTCAAGTGTATATATGGACCTCTACTCAAACTCTGTCTGTACTGATGTATTTGTTTCCAATAATGTTACAAGGGAATATCTCTGTGAAGGGTATCATGTAGCCCACACGTAGAATCGTGTGGAATTTGAGTTAAGTGCTTTGATTCTGTTCTCATTAAGAGTTTCTTACTGTGTTGAATAAGCGTTTATGGTTTATTTTCCAGACCACCTGAGGTGGCTTCCCTTTACACAACTGATTTAAAAGCAGCTCACTGTGATTAGTTAACATTTGAACGCCTGTGTTACTTTATTTACAGAAATCTGTTCTCAGCTCACTAGTCGAAGCATTTGTTGTACAGCATTGCTAACTTTCATTTTTCCAGAATTGTCTGTGATTACTGTAGTCTTCCTAAGGTATGTAATCAGTCTGGCCTTTTCTGGGAAAGTACTAGCATAATGTTCCTATGATAAAGAAAACCACAGTGTAAACTGACTATGCATGTGGAGATGAATTGGACTACTGAGTACATAATTTCCACATCCCTATTTATCAGCAGTTAATTTTGTCATCTAGCAGGTCTCTTAGTGTCTCAATGGGTTGATCTGTGCCTGTTGAAACAAAGTGACTTTAGCTGTCCCTCTCATTCCTTTGGTTATCACAGTGTGACAGAAGACACTTATGACTTTAAAATGTCATTCATAAAGAAACACATTCAAGTGATTTGTTCAAATAAGTGAGATTGCTAAAGTAAACATCAGCGTTGTCAGCACAATTTTACTTTTATCTTTACTCTTACTCTTTGTTGCACAGGTTTAAAAGGGTAGAATGGACAACTAAGTTAAAAATCATGGAGCAATCTTACAGTGCAGCTGCTTTTGGAATGAGAATATGTCTGGTGCAGTCACATACAAGGGCATCCATTACCGTCAAAATTTTGTATCTAATAGCATAAGAAGGAATCAAAGCCTTAAAATCATTATTTTAAAATATCTTTTGCTAAAGCATATTAAATTATGACATTGCAAAATATTGCTAGAGTAATTCTCTGCAGTTTGGCTGTTCTGGAAAAAGTCATTTAGAAAAATACAAATTCATATATTGCTTGTGTGCCCAAACTTTGGGAGCAAAACCAAATTTGTATGCAGGTTAGAATTTGCCTTAATGTTCCATTCATGAACAGTTAATAAACTGGCACAGAGTTAATATTTTATCATTTTGACATTATATTCTACTGTTATACTACTAAGTTTGTATCTGTCTTTTGCTATTCTAAATATGCATTATGTTTAAAATGCATAGGATTAGTTTTAAACTCTCTATAAACAGAAACACTAAGGTAATATAAATAGGAACATTAAATAATTACAAGGACACATTATTGAAAAAACAAATAAAATTGGAATGTGATTATTTGAAGTCATCTAAAATATTATAGACTTGATGGCATTGCCACCCAATTTTACTAACCTTTCTATAGTCCTTGGTAGTTAAACTGGAAATGTTGAATGAAGGCTTTTACCTCTTGTGAGTAGATGAGTAATTTCCCCCAGACTAGATTTTCTTAAAAATGGTTAAAGGGAAGGAATTAACAGACTCACAGGGTAGATTTCAGGGAGGTACGTCATATTTCATTTTGTATATATTTTCATTAAAGATGAAAGTGTTGTATTTATTTTATTCTATTCATGGTGAATGAGTTATCCAAAGTAGAGAGAATTCCTGTTTGCACTGAATGAAATCCTTTTGATAAAAGCATGAGTGCATCTCATCACTTCTGATTTCATTAAAATTGATAAAAAATTGTAAAGGAAGTATAAATTAGCTAAAAATCAGAGTAGTCAATTTTTTTATTATCTCCCCCCCCATCTGGTATTTGCATACTGAAAATTGTCACATTCAATTTGAAACTTAGATTGACAACTCTTTGCTGTTGATGCACATTTGAAAGAATGGCAGTCTTTATTTGCTAGACTTGTGAGAGAAGTAAAACCCGACTTTACCATCACTTCATCATTTGTGAATCTCTTTCAGTACCTTTTAACACTTGTTAAAAAAAAAAAACACCTAAAGATATGATGAAAATTACAGCAGACATACTCAAGGGGATAATGCTAAAAAATGTGTAAATTTAATACAAAAGCAAAACATCTGTTGAAAGATTTTTTTGGGGCTAATGCAGCATAGAATACCGGATACTGAGTAGATGTGGGTGGGAATGGGAGTGGAGTCTGTCTGTGCCAAAGAAGAAATGCTAACTTTTGTCATCAACTAAATAATCTTTAAAAACTTAGAGGAAGGGAAGTTTTACTTTATCAAAGTTTTACTTTTTGCCTTTCCACCACTTCAACACTCTTTCTTTTAAAATACACTGCCAGAAATCTTTTTTATCTTGACACATTGGCTATGTGTGGGAGAGGAGGAAAAAAGAGAAGAATGCATGTTTATGAAGAAAGGGAGAAGGGTGCATGCAGTCTGGGAGCATACACGGCAAGGTATGGAATTACATTAACATAAATGCTTAGGATAGTCAAAAGTCTGGAGGAAGCTTCTTTTTGTATTATCATCTGATACAGCAAGGAAGTACTTAGTATCACAGTATCTGAGAAAGATCTTGGAGGTCATTTCCACTTCTAGATCACAATAATTGAGCTTGTTTCTGATCTTAAAATCTTAGGAAATGGTGCTTAACTCAGGAATTTCTCTGGTCAAAGCTAGTGAATGTTCTTCTAGTATAAGGTCAGTGGCCTGGACTTTTGAGTAGGAATAGGATTGGAAGTATGTCTAAGTAAGATGTCTGCTCTCAGCTGTGATGTAGTTCATAGGTAAACATGATATTCCCTGGCATCTCCTCTGATTTTGATAGGGGCTAGTACTCAGCAGGTGTCTGTAAAAGCATGTAGCCATTGCATAACTCTTCTCTTCTGGGCCTTCTTTCCAAGAATTTTCCTGAAAAGCAGATAATTTACCCCATGAGACTCTCAGTCATTTTCTTGTGTAACTGTTGCTACAATAGACCCTACTAGAGCATGCAGCTTATATAAATTGTAAATAAATGACATTTTATTTACTGTATTTTTAACTTCCATGCCTTCTTCTGTCTTAATATCTGCTGTCTTGAAAGCAAACCTAGTTCTGGTTAATTACAGTGCAGCCTAAAGTACTTGAAGTTCACACTGAGATTCACTGAATCATACACTTTGTTACAGATTTTCTTGTATATATTCCTTGTTGCTATTGGCAATCCCTTATTTTTACAATCAGTAGAAAATGAAGGTAGTAAGATCTTTATTCTCTATACCATGATGAGAACTTGATGTGAACCATAGAAGTAAGGATGTTAGAAGCTATGTGGAGAAAGGTTCATACAATGGAGAAGACCACACGTGTATTTTAAACATAGTCTAAACACTTTGGACAAAATACTACAGAATTTAGTCTTTGATGTGTCATGTTAATAGTTAACATGTGAACTGTTTTAAAAAGGGCAGTAGAAGTGATGTATTGTGAACCTTGCAGTGAAGACCTACTCCTATAGTTAGAGAAAGAAGTTTCCATTTAAAACAGCAGCCATGAGCTTCTAAAGAAAAAAAAAATAAAAACTCTGTTAAACAAATGCTTAATATTGTTTATTAATTTTGAACATGGTGGAAGATAAAATGCCAGAGATTTTAACATTAGTATTAGAATATAAAGATTAGAACACTGAATAGGTATACTGTGCATTCATTACAACTCCTACCCAATAAAATATCTATTAGCTATGACTAAGAAGTGTGAAAGTGTGAAATGTTAAACATACAAATCTTTTTTGGTCTTCATTGGAGCCACTGGAGTTTTACCTTAGATTTGGACATACACAGAACATTGTGATCCTTACTGGGATAACTTTGAATGTTTCTTTGGGAGAAAAGTTTAGGAATTTAATTATTTTCTCTAAAAGTTGTTTAGTTTTTCATGCTTTGGTATTGCATGCACTGAAAAAATATGGTAGAAAAATACTTGGAAATGCTTTTTTCATTTTCTGAAAAGGATTTTTACTCATGCAGACCTCTAAGTACTGTGCAAGTCATGGAGTAATGCAAATAAAAACTTAATAAATATTTAAACAATTAAACTTTGACTTTATTTGGGAGTAGCTATGCTGATGTTATAGTTTTATAATGAAACATTGTGTTGTTAAGCCCTAGCTAATAAGCTCTGACAAGATGCAGAATTTACTAGCCTAAACGTGGCTCTTTAATGCAGCTGTATTTCTTTGGGAGCTAAGCAAGTATAGGCCAGCTCTGTCTTCTGCAGATGTGTAGGCATATGCCAATAACAGTTTAAGTGATTTGACAGGACTTAGACTTACAATTTTTACATTAATAAAAAAAAAAAGCTTTTGTTCATCCTTATTCTCCATTCAAGTTATTCTGTGGACACATGAGAATAATTGAAGTGTCCAGAAAATCTACTATTGTGTTGGTTATGGTTATCAATTTTCTACAAGTAGTACGAAGTTTAGCATTACCTTTTCAGAATGTTTTTCATTTTTTTCCTCATGAACCAGAATCTCCATTTCATAGAGGTCTTATTAGCTATACATCACGGATAAAAAGAGCTATCATTTATTTGGTTCTGATTTAGCAGTTTAGGCTTCCTGCGCTCACTTGTCAATGGTTTATCTGTCATCCTAGTTCTGTCACTATGACAAATGAATATTGGAAGTCCAAAGAAAACGTCTGAGACAGAGAATGTGGGTTTATTGTCATTCCACTTTCATCTTAGGAAGTTAAGTATGAATCACTTATTTGGCTACAATCCTGATTCCAAAATCAGAGAGATTATTTCTGTATTTTAGTGTCTTAAACTGATACTCTGTCTAATTTTGCAATGGCTTTAAGAAAGGTAAGGTTTTAACTCATTGGTACAGTTTCTTAAACAATTGTTTAGTTCAGAAATCCCACAAAAGGGAAGTTTAACGTTGGTAAAATACTGAATTTAGTTAAGTTAGTTATA